TACTTTCATCCATCGTCTTTACTCTTTCCTTCATCACCTCAGCCAGTCTTTCCATCTTGTCTTCCGCTACTCTCCATCCCATGTCCTTCATTCTATCATCTCCTCTCACACACTCTCCTGTTTTACCCAGCACCCATACTATGTCCTGGTGATCGCTCAGATTCTCCTGTTCTAACACTCTCCATTCTTTCATTCTTCTCGCCACCCCTTCCGTGCTGAGGGTCAGGTCGATATGCGACTTCTGATCACCTCGCCGGAAGGTGGGGGCATTTCCACAGTTGTGACAGACCATGCACCTCTCAGCCATCCAATCCTCAACCAATCTACCTCTCGGGTCATTCACTATGGGGGAGCCCCACAGGGGTGACTTCGCATTGAAGTCCCCTGCGACCACCACCTCCCCCTCCCATGTATTCACACTTTCACCCAGATCATCCAGGAACTTCGTATATCTCCCAATATCAATATTGGGTGATATGTAACATCCATACAGTACCCATTCACTAAACTTGATCCACACAAAACCTTCGCCCTTCCCAAACATCTCTCCCTTCTCATGTCGCCCGCAAACTCTCACAGCTACATCTTCTCTCACATCCGTCATCCATTCTAACCCTTTCACTCTCTTTTTATTCGGTTCAGACACAACTAATACATTCACTCCTTCCTCTTGCACCGTCTTCCACATCACATCCATCGCCACTCCCTTTCTTTGTGCATTAATCTGCAACACAACCGTCTCCTTGCTCTCGCTTCCATTCATACTGTGCTCTATTTTTTGGTGTTTTTTTTTTTTTTTTTTTTGTTGGTTTTTTTTTTTTTTTTTTTTTAAGGGGGGGGTTAAGGGGGGTTGGGGTTAAGGGTTTTTTTTTTTTTTTTTTGTTACCTGGGATTAGACGATCCTGTATGCCCCAGCTTTGTTTTTAGGGCCTCCTTATATTTACCACAAATGAGGGAACCTGTAAAATGTGCTCCGTTGCATAAAACACATTTCATTGCATTATGACACTCATCTCTTTTATGTCCTTTTTCACCACACCTTCTACACAGTTCTTCTCTGTTCGGGCCTTGGCAGTTCTCAGCCACATGTCCCGGTTCCCAACATCTGTAGCACTTGATGAGCCTCACATTTTCCTTTATGCTACATATATTGAATCCTATCCGCATTTTTTTTATTTGGATGAGATTTGCTGCCATCTTCTCTGTTGTTCTTAGTATAGCGCTTTGTCCATCTCTCGCGTTTGCTTTGAGTGAAATCACATTTATGGCCTCTGTAGACTGTGTTACTTTTCGGAGTTCTTCTACTATTTCTCCCTCGTTTATAATTGCATCTAAGTTGTATATATGTACCGTTCTATATCTTGTCTCTTGTCCCATTCTCACATTCGCATTTTGCATTTTTTCTTTGATTTTATTTCCTATCACAGCCATATTTTGTTCCCCTTTTTCGAACTCTAAGAGCAAACTTCCGTCCCTCGTCTTCCTGACACCCTTAATGTACGTATTATTCCCACCTGCTTGGGTTGTGATTTCTTTGACTTCTTTTAGCAATTCCGCATAGCTTTTATTTTGTTGTTTTATTATGATTGCTTCAGTTTTTCTATCTGGTCTATTTTGGTCTTGTAAAGTTCCTTTAGGAACGTAGACCATCACTTCAATACCACTATTGTTAAAAACAATTTCTACAATTTTCCTAAATGCCTTCCAAGACGCTTTCTCTATTACTGGTAGTAAAATTTTCTTTCTCCCCGATTCTTCAAGGGTTTGCTTAAGTTGTCTAATTTTCTTAAGTAATTCTGTTTCCTTATCTCCTTCATCGTCTATCGTTATCTTGTAGATATATTTTTCTTTCGTTTTCATTTCTTTGTTCTGAAATATTTTCGTTTGGATTACTAAATAACTCACACCACTTTCATCCTCTACTGCCGTTAGTTCCGGGTACTTTTCTCTGTATAGTTTGGGTAGGTTTCTTCCCATTTCTTTATCTTCTTTTGGGACTAAGATCCCACTGTCCGATTCAGCTTCTAGTAATGGATTTCCTTCGAAAACTTTTGTGCTTTTATAAGCTTCCTCAGGCCAGTTTAATTTCAAAACATCCATTAGATCCTGTTTGCTGGTAATCGACACGATTCTGCTACGAACATATTCTTCCGTTACTTTTTCGTTTGGTTGGTTATCCTCTTTTGTTTGCATTATTTCCTTGATCTTTCCCTCCAATTGTTTCTTTTCCTGCTTCAATTGGGCAACCTCCATTTCCAATTGTTTCATTTTATCTGACGCATGCATGTCCTCTGTTTGCACACCTATGGTGGAAGTACATGGCTCTACTTGGACATCTACTTCATACTTGGGTGTGTCATAGACTTCCCATCTATGTTTCTCAAACCACTCTTTGGTAGTGCCTCTTGTGAAAACCTCCATTTGTCTCTTAAGCGAGCCCGATATATCCTTGATTTCTCTTTTTGTGTTTGGGTTTTGTTCTATTCTCTTGTGTAGATCTTCCGCATATTTTTTAATCATTGTGAGAGACTCCAATATGACAAACGCCACAGGGTCTTCTTTCTTTTTATATATTTCCTCCTTGTGCGGAGTAATACTGCCCCTTTTCCTTTTTCGTTCCTCCTCTGACGTACTCACAGAGTTTGAACGAATTATTGGCTGTCTCAAAAGACCTACAGCTTTCGGTTTGACTCCTATACCCCTTATTGGTGTTCCAGTAGCTTTTCCTTGATCCGCAGCCTGGGCCTCCACCGCAGGATCTGTACAGTCGCTTGCTGACGGTCGGGGGGAGCCTGCACGACCACTACCCGTTCCGACCGGTTCTGGGGCATCCGAGATCCCCTGTCCCGTAGTTTTTAAATCATTTACCTTATCCATTGCCATGTAAGTTTAATTTTTTGGCTTTTTGGCGTGGCCTAACGCTCGTCGTTCCTGTTCATTGCCAAGCCATAGCGATAGTCCCCCCTCGATGGGCCGCCACCTTGTCGTGGTGAGGGGGCTTTTCACCAAGAGCGGCCCATACTGACTACCCATTACCAAGTCGTGTCCGGGTTCTCGCGTGCGTCGTTTTTTAATGTTTTTTATTTCCTCGGAGGTTGTCTCCTCCGCTGCTCTATTTGGTCCGCGACGGCTATTTTATTTCACCGTAACCCGCCGGCAGAGCCGGTGAGGGCTTCCCCTATCCGCCACCTGGGGGACGCGCCCAGTAGGAGTTTGGCTTCTCCCCTGGGACCTGACCTGACCTGACCTGACCTGACCTGACCTGACCTGACCTGACCTGACCTGACCTGACCTGACCTGACCTGACCTGACCTGACCTGACCTGACCTGACCTGACCTGACCTGACCTGACCTGACCTGACCTGACCTGACCTGACCTGACCTGACCTGACCTGACCTGACCTGACCTGACCTGACCTGACCTGACCTGACCTGACCTGACCTGACCTGACCTGACCTGACCTGACCTGACCTGACCTGACCTGACCTGACCTGACCTGACCTGACCTGACCTGACCTGACCTGACCTGACCTGACCTGACCTGACCTGACCTGACCTGACCTGACCTGACCTGACCTGACCTGACCTGACCTGACCTGACCTGACCTGACCTGACCTGACCTGACCTGACCTGACCTGACCTGACCTGACCTGACCTGACCTGACCTGACCTGACCTGACCTGACCTGACCTGACCTGACCTGACCTGACCTGACCTGACCTGACCTGACCTGACCTGACCTGACCTGACCTGACCTGACCTGACCTGACCTGACCTGACCTGACCTGACCTGACCTGACCTGACCTGACCTGACCTGACCTGACCTGACCTGACCTGACCTGACCTGACCTGACCTGACCTGACCTGACCTGACCTGACCTGACCTGACCTGACCTGACCTGACCTGACCTGACCTGACCTGACCTGACCTGACCTGACCTGACCTGACCTGACCTGACCTGACCTGACCTGACCTGACCTGACCTGACCTGACCTGACCTGACCTGACCTGACCTGACCTGACCTGACCTGACCTGACCTGACCTGACCTGACCTGACCTGACCTGACCTGACCTGACCTGACCTGACCTGACCTGACCTGACCTGACCTGACCTGACCTGACCTGACCTGACCTGACCTGACCTGACCTGACCTGACCTGACCTGACCTGACCTGACCTGACCTGACCTGACCTGACCTGACCTGACCTGACCTGACCTGACCTGACCTGACCTGACCTGACCTGACCTGACCTGACCTGACCTGACCTGACCTGACCTGACCTGACCTGACCTGACCTGACCTGACCTGACCTGACCTGACCTGACCTGACCTGACCTGACCTGACCTGACCTGACCTGACCTGACCTGACCTGACCTGACCTGACCTGACCTGACCTGACCTGACCTGACCTGACCTGACCTGACCTGACCTGACCTGACCTGACCTGACCTGACCTGACCTGACCTGACCTGACCTGACCTGACCTGACCTGACCTGACCTGACCTGACCTGACCTGACCTGACCTGACCTGACCTGACCTGACCTGACCTGACCTGACCTGACCTGACCTGACCTGACCTGACCTGACCTGACCTGACCTGACCTGACCTGACCTGACCTGACCTGACCTGACCTGACCTGACCTGACCTGACCTGACCTGACCTGACCTGACCTGACCTGACCTGACCTGACCTGACCTGACCTGACCTGACCTGACCTGACCTGACCTGACCTGACCTGACCTGACCTGACCTGACCTGACCTGACCTGACCTGACCTGACCTGACCTGACCTGACCTGACCTGACCTGACCTTTTTTTTTTTTTTTTTATAAACGAGGAGAAATGCTTTACGCACGCCCCCAGGTACGGGGGTAGTGTGGGACTCCAATCTCTCTAGAGATTGTATACCCACTAAAACTCCTCTCTCCTCCTGGCGTTACTGTGGTGTCCCCGTCGTTTGGACCTTACACCAACAGGCGCCTTGTCTTTCATCCTACTTCTTTTTCTTTCCTAACTTCGTCTTCTTCCTTTTGCCGCATTATTGTCACTATTATGTTGTTAATATTTTTCCAAGTGTTCTCATCTCTCAGCATGGCTTCGATCACTTTCTCCAACCCTAAATCACCTTCTACCCATCTTATAAGCTCCTCTCGCTGTTGTTGCCATCTTCTGCAGTGTACTATTGTGTGTTTCGGGTTATCTTCTTCCTCCTCGCAATACACGCATCTGCTGTTATCTTGTTTACTGATCCTTTTCCTGTATGTTGCAAACACGCCGTGGCCTGTTAATATCTGGGTTAGATAAAAGGTAATTTCGCCGTGTTTTCTTTTCACCCAATTGCATATGTTTGGAATTAGCTTGTAAGTCCACCTGCCTGCCCCTGATGCATCCCACTCTGCTTGCCACATACCGATTGTCCTATCTCTCTCCTCTTGCCTGTTTATTTCCTCCCCTTTTTGTTTCCTTTCATAAATCCTCTTACGTTCTTGTGCGAGAAGGTGTACGGGTACCAGGCTCGAGATCACCATAGCGGCGTCTGTTGAGACCGTCCTGTATGCCGATGCTACTCTGAGTGCCATTATTCTTTGTGCTCTTAATATGATATTCCTATGTACTACTTTATTTGTTACTTCTGCCCATATAGGTGCACCATACAGCAGGACTGATTGCATCGAGAGAGCCAGTACCCTTCGTTTCGAACCCCTGGGACCTCGAATATTAGGAAGTATGGCAGAGACTGCGTTTGCCGTCCTACTCGCTTTGCCACAAACATGCCTGAGATGTGGACCAAAGGTAAGACCTCTGTCTAATATTATGCCCAAATATGTCACTTTTTTAACAGTTGTAATTGTCGTATCGTCTAACTCAAAATATATGTCTTTGTCATTTCTATTGTTCAGGACTATTGCCATAACCTTATCCTTCGCTACTTCAAGTTTATTCGTCTGTAGCCACAGTCTAATTGAATGCAACACTTCATCTCCTTTGATCATTAAGTTTTCTTTTGTGGTTGCAGTAACCAGAGCGGCTAAATCATCAGCATACCCTAGCATACTCGTTCCTTCTACCGTTGTGCATTCGAATATGTCGTCGTACAAGACGTTCCACAAGGTCGGTCCGAGAACCGAACCCTGTGGAACGCCGCCCCCTATGTGTTCTTTTTGTTTTGGGGAAATTTGAATTTTCCTTTCGGATAAATACGACGCTATCGTGTTGATCAAGTACTCGCTCACCCCGCGGTTCTTTAATTTTGTTATTATCTTCTCCCAAGAGGCCTGATTAAATGCATTTTTGATATCGATTGTTATAAGGGCACACCACATGTTTTTATTTTTGGCTTCTCTGGCTGTTTGTACCACCTTAGTTATGGCATCTACTGTCGTCCTACCTTGTCGAAACCCAAATTGATATTCACTGAATCCTCCTAAGCTTTGTATCTCCGTTATTAGTCGCGTATTTATTATATTTTCATAAACCTTCGCTAATGCGTCTATCAAGCAAATAGGCCTGTACTTGGTTTGGTCCTGAGGATTCTTTTTCGGCTTTTCTAGCAGTATCAACTTCGTAATTTTCCAGATATCCGGAAAGATATTGTCGTTCAGCATTTGGTTGAAGATTCGAAGAAAATATTCTGAGTTCGCGTTAACCATATGTTTGATCACCTCTGGTGGAAGTCCATCTGGTCCGGGTGCTTTTCTTGATTTGATTTTCCTCGTTGCCGCTTGTAGTTCTTCCGCCGTTATTAATTGTTTATTTTCTTCAATTTCTTTTTGTTGTTTCGGGAATGTGTCGATATCGGTCACAAAGAGTTTGTTAAACTGAGTGACGCGTTCTTTGGGAGTTAGTGCAATTTTTGGTGCCGTATATCGTAATTGTGCCATCACTATTTTGTAGCCATCTCCGTATACATCTTCATCTAGCCGATCGCAGAGTTCTTTCCATCCCTTTTTCTTTTCAACAGCTATTTCTTTGCACAGTTTCCTCTTTGCGATTTTATACGTGTTTTTCTTTATTGTTCGTTGTTCTTCAGATCTTGTCTCCTTTTGGAATTCTTTCCTTTTCTTGTGCACTTCAGAAATCAATCTTTGTATGGAGTCAGTCCACCAGTACGGCATGCCACCTCCTTTGTCTACTCTAACGCGAGGAGTGCTCTGTTCGTAAGCTTTAATCAGTTCTTCCCTACATGTTCCCAATTCCGCGTGGTTTGATATATTATCTCGAAATATTCTCTCCATCTTTTCTAAGTTAGTATTGCCGTATCTATATGTATTTATTCGTGTTTGCGTTGTCGTAATATCTAGTTTTATGGCTTGATGATCGCTCAGTGACAATTCATTTTTCAACACACACCATCTCGGGTTCTTATCCATTATATTGTTATCGACTATAGTCAGGTCTACATATGAAATTCCATTAGGTCTTATGAGTGTTGGTTCTTTTCCATCATTGAGTATATTCAAGTCCAGAGCAAATGTCCATTCCAATACTGTTTCTCCCCTGCGATCTGTTACTTTACCTCCCCAGTACATATGTTTAGCATTGAAGTCTCCGGCCACTATCAGTTTCTTATCTAACTTCTTCGTTACCAACACCGCATTTTGTAATTCTTTCAAATTTTTCAGAAAGGTTTCAAAAGAGCTATTAGGACTTATGTATACACTAAACATCACATACTCTCTGGTTTCTACACATACGTAACAGTTCCCCATCTGGATATTGGTGACTTGCTGATTTAAGCTAGTCTTGATTATGGCCGTGGTTTTTTCTCTATTCATATAGATATTACTTTTCCTGCTGCACATAGATATATTGGGTTCGGAGACAATCATAAAGTCGTAGCTGTCTCTTTTGACCGTAGCATAGGCAACATCGTGTGCTGCCTTGCTACAGTTCGCATTTAGCTGTAACAGCTTGAATTTTATTTTTTCCTTTTGTCTTTGGCAGCGGTCAAGGCCCTTATAAAGGACCTGCACTTACCGCTTCCAGCCTGATGTCCTTGTTCGTTGCACAATGGGCAATGAGGTATCTCTTGGCAGTCTCTGGCTTTGTGCCCCTCTTTCGTGCACCGCTGGCATATGTCCTTTCTGTCTTCACCCGTGCATTCCTTGGCTTGATGGTCGTATTGCCAACACTTGTAGCATCTTCTCAGTGTTATTCTTTCTTCTATTCGACAGATCTCAAAGCCTATCTTGACTTTGCCCATTTTTAATAGTCTGTTGGCGTCTTCTTCTGCTACTAATAACGTTGCAATTTTATTCTCATTTTTAGTCGGTCGAACTGATTTGACAATAAATTTTTCGGGTATACTAATACATCCTGCGTCTTTCAATGCTTCCTCTATCTCCCCCGTCTCTGTTGTAATGTCTAGGTCTCTTACATGGAGTACTTTTATTCTGACTCCTCCTAACGAGATTGCTTTCCGTCCTTCGAATATCTCTTTAATCTTGTCATTTGTCTTTGTGTCCTCTTTTGCTATCTTGATAAGAAGTTCCCCGTTTTTTGTTTTCCGTACTCCTTTTATATTTTCCTTAACTAGCTGTTCCTCTTTCAGCCCTTCTTTTAGTTTCCTTACTGTATCAGCATATGACACGGAGTCATCTTTTCGTATGAGGATTGCTTCTCCTCTTTTTTTCCTTTGTCTCTCTTCTTCTTTATCATTTCGTCTACTCAATATTATATTGATTTTGTATCCCATATTGTGATAATTCACTTCTACCATTTTTCTAAATTTCTCACCGAGTATACCTACCGGGCAGACTATCGTCGCCATCTTCTCCTCCGCCATGTTTATTATTTTTGTCATTTCCTTTAGTATATGGAAAACATCTTGTTCCGTCCTACCGTCTTGCTTGGTTGGGTCATAATATGCAGTCGTTAGTCTTCTTGTCATCTTCTTTTGTGTTTTTTGTATTAGGTAAGATACAGTCTGTTCAATTGCGACATAACTTCCTCCTTGACATTCGATTTTTTCTCCATGTAAAAGTTCTGGATATCTGTTCAGAAACATTTTACTTATTCTTGTCCTTCGTTTAGGTTCTATGTCCATGAAAAGGATCATATTTCCATCATTACACTTTGCCGGGTCTTCAGTCTTAATTTCTGTACATACAAAACTAGATGGGGTCCAATTTTTGTCCTGTACATTAACGAACTCTTCATACATAGATATTTCTATTTCGTTTAAATCGAACTGTGGTTCTATTGTTCCTCCATTCTGTCCCTCTTTACTCACTTGTCTGGCGAGCTCTTTCTCTAACTTTTTTATTTGTTCCAGATGCCGGATTTGCTCTTCTTTCATATAGATAATATCATGTTTAAGTGTCCTTATTATTTCTTCTTGGTTCTTTATGCGTTCCTCTGCTTTCTGCCGTCTTTCTGATATTATTTCCTTTTCATTCTTATACTCATTAGTCACCCTATTAACTATACTATTTATTTCTGTCGCCCATGCTTTAATCTCCTTATGTACGTTTTTGTTCTCCTTGACAAATTTATTAAGGTCATCTGTCTTAGACCTCAGTTTCAAGATAAGTTTATGTTCTACCTCGGTTATGCTCGTAACTTGCGTCTTTGGCGGGCTATCCTCCACATATTTCCTTTTCTTGGCATATTCGCCTTCCATCTGGGCGACGGTTCCTCTCACACTACATCCCCATGTTGCGGCCCTAACCCTTGTAGGTGTTAAAAGAACGGATTCTTCTGTAGTTTCTCTTGTTACCTCCTTAGCCGGAGACCTTACTACTCTGGGTTTCCTTGCGAAAATCTCTTTTTCTGCGTCGATAACGAGCATCTCACTCATCATTTTTTCTTCTCTTCCAGTAACACTAGTAGACGCTGTGGCCTGGTCACCCACCACAAACGCCTCGCAGTCTCTGGATGACGACCCGGGATCGGCCTGCTCGACCACCTCTCCCGTGCCGGGACTGTCAGTTCCGAGTTCCGACTGCCCGTAAGTTTCTTTCGTTTTATTAAGATCCATTATTGTTTCTTAAGCATTTTAGAGCTCCTGCCAGCGTTTCTTCAGCCGCCCGCTCCGGGTCAGACGCTGACCAGGGGAGCCGCCCATTATGGGACAGACGCTTCCTGGCTTTAATAGAGGTCTGATAGATAAGAACAGGAAAGGGAAGACCCCTAACCCTTCCGTTCCTTCACACAAATCATTGTCCGGTCCATTGCCAATGTCAGTACGTTAGTCCTCCCTCGATGGGTGGCCACCTTGACGTGGTGAGGGAGCTTTGTACCAAGAGCCACCCATACTCACTAACTATAACCCAATCCATGTCCTTGTTCGCGCCAGAGTTGTTGTCTTGTTTTTTATTCCTGGAGGTTGTCTCCTCCGTTGCTCTATTTGGTCCGCGGTGGCTATTTTATTTCACCACTACCCGCCGGCAAGCCGGTGAGGGCATTCCCCTATCCGCCACGTGGGGGACGCGCCCGGTAGGAGTTTGGCTTCTCCCCCGAGGACCTGACCTGACCTGACCTGACCTGACCTGACCTGACCTGACCTGACCTGACCTGACCTGACCTGACCTGACCTGACCTGACCTGACCTGACCTGACCTGACCTGACCTGACCTGACCTGACCAATCTCTCTAGAGATTGTATACCCACTAAAACTCCTCTCTCCTCCTGGCGTTACTGTGGTGTCCCCGTCGTTTGGACCTTACACCAACAGGCGCCTTGTCTTTCATCCTACTTCTTTTTCTTTCCTAACTTCGTCTTCTTCCTTTTGCCGCATTATTGTCACTATTATGTTATTAATATTTTTCCAAGTGTTCTCATCTCTCAGCATGGCTTCGATCACTTTCTCCAACTCTAAATCACCTTCTACCCATCTTATAAGCTCCTCTCGCTGTTGTTGCCATCTTCTGCAGTGTACTATTGTGTGTTTCGGGTTATCTTCTTCCTCCTCGCAATACACGCATCTGCTGTTATCTTGTTTACTGATCCTTTTCCTGTATGTTGCAAACACCCCATGGCCTGTTAATATCTGGGTTAGATAAAAGGTAATTTCGCCGTGTTTTCTTTTCACCCAGTTGCATATGTTTGGGATTAGCTTGTAAGTCCACCTGCCTGCCCCTGATGCATCCCACTCTGCTTGCCACATACCGATTGTCCTATCTCTCTCCTCTTGCCTGTTTATTTCCTCCCCTTTTTGTTTCCTTTCATAAATCCTCTTACGTTCTTGTGCGAGAAGGTGTACGGGTACCAGGCTCGAGATCACCATAGCGGCGTCTGTTGAGACCGTCCTGTATGCCGATGCTACTCTGAGTGCCATTATTCTTTGTGCTCTTAATATGATATTCCTATGTACTACTTTATTTGTTACTTCTGCCCATATAGGTGCACCATACAGCAGGACTGATTGCATCGAGAGAGCCAGTACCCTTCGTTTCGAACCCCTGGGACCTCGAATATTAGGAAGTATGGCAGAGACTGCGTTTGCCGTCCTACTCGCTTTGCCACAAACATGCCTGAGATGTGGACCAAAGGTAAGACCTCTGTCTAATATTATGCCCAAATATGTCACTTTTTTAACAGTTGTAATTGTCGTATCGTCTAAATCAAAATATATGTCTTTGTCATTTCTATTGTTCAGGACTATTGCCATAACCTTATCCTTCGCTACTTCAAGTTTATTCGTCTGTAGCCACAGTCTAATTGAATGCAACACTTCATCTCCTTTGATCATTAAGTTTTCTTTTGTGGTTGCAGTAACCAGAGCGGCTAAATCATCAGCATACCCTAGCATACTCATTCCTTCTACCGTTGTGCATTCGAATATGTCGTCGTACAAGACGTTCCACAAGGTCGGTCCGAGAACCGAACCCTGTGGAACGCCGCCCCCTATGTGTTCTTTTTGTTTTGGGGAAATTTGAATTTTCCTTTCGGATAAATACGACGCTATCGTGTTGACCAAGTACTCGCTCACCCCGCGGTTCTTTAATTTTGTTATTATCTTCTCCCAAGAGGCCTGATTAAATGCATTTTTGATATCGATTGTTATAAGGGCACACCACATGTTTTTATTTTTGGCTTCTCTGGCTGTTTGTACCACCTTAGTTATGGCATCTACTGTCGTCCTACCTTGTCGAAACCCAAATTGATATTCACTGAATCCTCCTAAGCTTTGTATCTCCGTTATTAGTCGCGTATTTATTATATTTTCATAAACCTTCGCTAATGCGTCTATCAAGCAAATAGGCCTGTACTTGGTTTGGTCCTGAGGATTCTTTTTCGGCTTTTCTAGCAGTATCAACTTCGTAATTTTCCAGATATCCGGAAAGATATTGTCGTTCAGCATTTGGTTGAAGATTCGAAGAAAATATTCTGAGTTCGCGTTAACCATATGTTTGATCACCTCTGGTGGAAGTCCATCTGGTCCGGGTGCTTTTCTTGATTTGATTTTCCTCGTTGCCGCTTGTAGTTCTTCCGCCGTTATTAATTGTTTATTTTCTTCAATTTCTTTTTGTTGTTTCGGGAATGTGTCGATATCGGTCACAAAGAGTTTGTTAAACTGAGTGACGCGTTCTTTGGGAGTTAGTGCAATTTTTGGTGCCGTATATCGTAATTGTGCCATCACTATTTTGTAGCCATCTCCGTATACATCTTCATCTAGCCGATCGCAGAGTTCTTTCCATCCCTTTTTCTTTTCAGCAGCTATTTCTTTGCACAGTTTCCTCTTTGCGATTTTATACGTGTTTTTCTTTATTGTTCGTTGTTCTTCAGATCTTGTCTCCTTTTGGAATTCTTTCCTTTTCTTGTGCACTTCAGAAATCAATCTTTGTATGGAGTCAGTCCACCAGTACGGCATGCCACCTCCTTTGTCTACTCTAACGCGAGGAGTGCTCTGTTCGTAAGCTTTAATCAGTTCTTCCCTACATGTTCCCAATTCCGCGTGGTTTGAAATATTATCTCGAAATATTCTCTCCATCTTTTCTAAGTTAGTATTGCCGTATCTATATGTATTTATTCGTGTTTGCGTTGTCGTAATATCTAGTTTTATGGCTTGATGATCGCTCAGTGACAATTCATTTTTCAACACACACCATCTCGGGTTCTTATCCATTATATTGTTATCGACTATAGTCAGGTCTACATATGAAATTCCATTAGGTCGTATGAGTGTTGGTTCTTTTCCATCATTGAGTATATTCAAGTCCAGAGCAAATGTCCATTCCAATACTGTTTCTCCCCTGCGATCTGTTACTTTACCTCCCCAGTACATATGTTTAGCATTGAAGTCTCCGGCCACTATCAGTTTCTTGTCTAACTTCTTCGTTACCATCACCGCATTTTGTAATTCTTTCATATTTTCCAAAAAGGTTTCAAAAGAGCTATTAGGACTTATGTATACACTAAACATCACATACTCTCTGGTTTCTACACATACGTAGCAGTTCCCCATCTGGATATTGGTGACTTGCTGATTTAAGCTAGTCTTGATTATGGCCGTGGTTTCTTCTCTATTCATATAGATATTACTTTTCCTGCTGCACATAGATATATTGGGTTCGGAGACAATCATAAAGTCGTAGCTGTCTCTTTTGACCGTAGCATAGGCAACATCGTGTGCTGCCTTGCTACAGTTCGCATTTAGCTGTAACAGCTTGAATTTTATTTTTTCCTTTTGTCTTTGGCAGCGGTCAAGGCCCTTATAAAGGACCTGCACTTACCGCTTCCAGCCTGATGTCCTTGTTCATTGCACAGTGGGCAATAAGGTATCTCTTGGCAGTCTCTGGCTATGTGCCCTTCTTTCGTGCACCGCTGGCATATGTCCTTTCTGTCTTCCCCCGTGCATTCCTTGGCTTGATGGTCGTATTGCCAACACTTGTAACATCTTCTCAGTGTTATTCTTTCTTCTATTCGACAGATCTCAAAGCCTATCTTGACTTTGCCCATTTTTAATAGTCTATTGGCGTCTTCTTCTGCTACTAATAACGTTGCAATTTTATTCTCATTTTTAGTAGGTCGAACTGATTTGACAATAAATTTTTCGGGTATACTAATGTATCCTGCGTCTTTCAATGCTTCCTCTATCTCCCCCGTCTCTATTGTAATGTCTAGGTCCCTTACATGGAGTACTTTTGTTCTGACTCCTCCTAACGAAATTGCTTTCCGTCCTTCGAATATCTCTTTAATCTTGTCATTCGTGTTTGTGTCCTCTTTTGCTATCTTGATAAGAAGTTCCCCGTTTTTTGTTTTCCGTACTCCTTTTATATTTTCCTTAACTAGCTGTTCCTCTTTCAGCCCTTCTTTTAGTTTCCTTACTGTATCAGCATATGACGAGTCATCTTTTCGTATGAGGATTGCTTCTCCTCTTTTTTTCCTTTGTCTCTCTTCTTCTTTATCATTTCGTCTACTCAATATTATATTGATTTTGTATCCCATATTGTGATAATTCACTTCTGCCATTTTTCTAAATTTCTCACCGAGTATACCTACCGGACAGACTATCGTCGCCATCTTCTCCTCCGCCGTGTTTATTATTTTTGTCATTTCCTTTAGTATATGGAAAACATCTTGTTCCGTCCTACCGTCTTGCTTGGTTGGGTCATAATATACAGTCGTTAGTCTTCTTGTCATCTTCTTTTGTGTTTTTTGTATTAGGTAAGATACAGTCTGTTCAATTGCGACATAACTTCCTCCTTGACATTCGATTTTTTCTCCATGTAAAAGTTCTGGATATCTGTTCAGAAACATTTTACTTATTCTTGTCCTTCGTTTAGGTTCTATGTCTATGAAAAGGATCATATTTCCATCATTACACTTTGCCGGGTCTTCAATCTTAATTTCTGTACATACAAAACTGGATGGGGTCCAATTTTTGTCCTGTACATTAACGAACTCTTCATACGTAGATATTTCTATTTCGTTTAAATCGAACTGTGGTTCTATTGTTCCTCCATTCTGTCCCTCTTTACTCACTTGTCTGGCGAGTTCTTTCTCTAACTTTTTTATTTGTTCCAGATGCCGCA